GTCCGTTGTAGCCGCTCAGTGTGCTCAGCCCACCGCCCAGAGCGCCGACCAAGCCACTGAATCTGCAAGAGAAAGTTAATTCCCGACTATATAACCGAAGCACACACTACGAGGGGACGTTTGTCGAATTGTGGAAGGGACTCGGAAATGGACTCAAGAAGAGTATTAAGTGCGTGACTTTTATTTTTAAATTTCTTTGCTTCATCAAGTCTTGCTTCATTATATTTAAAAGGCTTCGTTTCTACCCACACATTTCACTGTTTTCTTCTTTTTTATGGTATTGTTTTCATTAGCTGTAATTTTTCTCTTTTAACTGGCTTCTTTCATATAAGTTACAACGGGTATACATTTTCTTTTATCAACTTGTTTACTCAGAGCAAGCTCTTTGTTTATCAACATTTAATTTTGCATTCTGTTTTTTCGCAGCTCTTTTCGAATTTTTGTGTTTTCTCGAGAAGTAAAGTTGTTGCCCTTGTGAATAGCATTATTTATTTGTATCCTGAAGCCTTTAAAAGTGTATTCTATTTTTAAACAATTTAATGGAAATGTGTATTTTAGCTTCTGCAATTGAGTTTAATTGTAGCGAAATATAAAGTTTACCCTGATTATGACTGTTTGGTTGGATTTTTCATAAATGTATTGAGCGACTCTCGTATGAGAAACTCACCTATTTGTTGCCGTTGTCACATGCATGCCATTGCAGCCTCCGACGCCAACACGTCCCTGCATACGGCGTATTGAGTCGGGACTGGAACCGCCGGAGTTCATTTGCATTTCGTCGATGAGGGCCTGGCCGAACTTGGTTTTGCTAAACTTCAATCCGTAGTTGATCTTATTGGCGGCCAAATCCCGCAGCAGGTCCTTGGGCACACGCATCAACAGCAGCTTGGGCAGTCGCTTGATGAAGAAGGACCTTATCCAGGGCCGCATCTTGTGTGTGCTGGGCTTCCGATAATGTATATTGAGTATTATGATAGTGATGACGACGCTCAGCCCGACCAGCAACATGGTAAAGAGAAGATATTTGCCCAGCAGCGGCAGAGCCAGCGAGGTTGACGGTATAATTTCCGATATGAGCAAGAAGAACATAGTCTGTGAGAGCAGAATGCTGATGCAAAGCGCAATCTTCTCGCCGGAGTCAGCGGGCAGGTAGAAGACCAGCACGGAGAGATAGGAGATGCCCACGCACGGGATGATGAGGTTGACCGTGTAGAAGAGGGTCTTTCGTCTCAGCGTTATGTTGAAGAAGATGTCTGAACATTTGATCAAGGCCAGCGAGAGCAGCATGAAATACCAAAAGAAAGAAAGAGATCCAGAAAGACAAACAGAGAGAGAGAGAGAGAGAGAGAGAGAGACGATGATGGAATCCACGAAGATTGGATTCGGGTTTGGAGTATAGATTTTCATAGTGAGTTTGGGTAGAGCTTTCGCGTGCGCTTGTTGGCGAGCAAAGTGTGAGCTTTAAACTCTACGAAACTCACCGGGATAGGGCTCGGCACAGCACGGATAATACTTCTCGTGGCGCTCAGCGGGCACGCCCAATATGTCCCATTCCACACTCGGATAATACTCGCGCAAATCAATGCCAATCTCAACTTTATTGTCCTTATCGTTCTTCTGGTTGATGTGCTTTAAATCGATCTGCAAAGAGAGCGCCGTTGAGAGAGTCATAAATCGCATCAAGCTTAAAGGCACTTAAAGCCAACGGGCGTGACGCTCGTCGACGGTCACATCCAACTCATTCTCCCCATCACCTCGTCATCATCATTGTAGTCGCCTGGAGGCGACATCTTCGGCTCCGCCTTGAGCTGCCTCGAGTTAAGGCTCAAGTGCAGTCGTTAAAAGAGTAGCAAATTTAAATGCGTTGACAATGACTAAGTCGCACAGTGGAACGAAAGCACCAAATATATATAGCAAAATTTTTGGAATGTACTTCCTTAATTATGGGCAATCAACTGAATTTTATATAGTTATAAAATGTTGTGGGACTTTTATTAAAAATCGTTTAAATACTTGTGATTTTGGTATTAGGCTCTATTAGTTCTTTGACAGCAATAGTTTATTAATTATTGAACAATATTAAAATAATATGTATTTGCTCCTTATTATTCATGGAAACTGTCCAAGACAATTATATAATTCACTACTTTTTGAATATCGTTTAAATGCTTTATTTTAGCAAAATTTCCTTAGTTCTTTTTATTCAGATTAGATCTAAAAAATGCTGAATTATATTCCAAATTGAAACGTATTTTTATTGACATTTTTGTTTTGTGAAAATGTGCTCTAATTATTCCTATAGTTTCAACCACTGTGCGACGTCCGGTCAGCGGAAACGGAAGCGGCAATGGTTTGTGGGGAGTCGCACTTTGCTTTAATTTATGGCCGCGTATTTTTATGACAGAGACACAGAGAGACGAGTGGGTCGGTGAGAGGAGAGTTTCTTTTCTATTTCTAGTTCTGGCTGGGTGTGTGTGGGGGAGTGTGCGTAACGGTAACGGTTAGACAAGTTTCAATTACACTTTTACAATTTCTCACATTTTAATCTGCAGCGCAGCCGACGCCCTTTCGATGTTCGCCTGGCATCTTATGCTTGTAAGCGCGCGCTCAACGCTCATATAAATGGATGCCCATAAATCCACAATGCCACGCCTCATTGCTCAGACACACACACACGCACACAGACGGAATGAGATGGTATGGGTGGGTAGACATACCTGATCGCCGTCGTAGGTCCAGGAGCCGAACTTCATGAAGCACGTCTGTTGATCGAAGGGAAAGTAGCGCACATCAATCTCGCAGGATGATTTGAAAATGGCCGGCGGGGTCCACACCACCTTGCCCGTGTAGTGCAGAATGGCCTTCGTCATGGTGGTCACCACGTACTCACCGTCAGCGCTGCGGCAGTTGAATGCAAACTGTAGTTCAGATTTTGACTTTAGCTTTGCGCTGGTGTGGGTGGACTCACTTGTTATAGAGGACAATGTCGGGCAGCCAGATGTGCTCGGATGGCACATAGAGCTCGGTGACGCCACCATATTCGGATGGATCCCATTTGAATTTATGATCCTGCCATTCGTGTTCCAGCCACACATTGGTCGTTAGAATTTGATCTTTGAGGTTCTGTGTGCAAGAGAAAATTAAAGCCGGCGCTTTAGATATACAAGCGCACACAGGACGACCATGCATCAAGCAGGATTTGCATTTTTTCTCTGCTCTTTTCTGGTGCAGCTGCTACGGCCCTACCTCCTACATCGCTTAGACTTGGTCTCGCTACTGCGAGTACTATGTCCTATGTCCCTAGGTCTGTCTCTTTGTCTCTCCGTCTGTCTGTTTGTTTGGCTGACTGTCTGCTTGCGTGCTACCCCTATCGGCTTCCCTTTGCCCCTCTAACAGGAGGCTGAGTGTACTCTGCCCTGCCGCTAATGTGCTTTTTGCTGTCAGTTTACGGTTTTTGGATTTTTGGCTTGTTTTATTACCTTTTAAGCCTCGTGGTAGCGGCACTTTGTGTCTACCGTCTACCGTCTACCGCCTCCCGCCCAGCCCCCTGCCACTAGCCTAGTAAAGTATTCCGCAGTAATTGCACTGTGTGCTCTGGCTGCTCTGGCTGCGCCGCACGACATTTGACAAATGCTCAGTCGTGAACTTTAAGCTGGCGTTACGAGAACGTATGCAATAGTTTATTTTTGAGCAACTGAAATGAATTTCTGTTGAAATGCTTTATAAATTGAGTGTCAGTCAAGCTGCTAAGCAATGTGCATAGCATAATATCACATTAGCACTTTGAAACAAGAAATGGCTTTTAGACTAGGGCAGCGCAGATATCGATCAAAATTTTTGTATGAGCTTTTTTTTGAAAATATATAAAATTGAATGTATTGAGCAAAATGTAATAATATTGATTATGTTTTAATATGACACATTTTTTGTGAGCATATTAGCAGAACATATTTATATTGCTATGATCGGAATAAGAGATTATTTTATTAATAATTAATATGGGAAATTGAAAGCATAGAGCCATAATTAAATAATTTGATTTTAATATGAAACATCCTTTTGAAGTATATTATCGGAATTACAAATTATATATATTTTTTCTTTGTATTTCAAAATAAATATTGTGAATTTAGTTTGTGACTTATGTGCATGGATATTTATAAAGCATTCTTTACAAAGCTGAAGCTCAGTACCATTTAGCCAACAAATAATGTTTTGCAATTGTCAATTTCATCAGCGTAATTAAAAATATTCTATCTAATTAAGTTGATAAAGCAATTAGCTAAGAGAACATCTGCAAAAAAATGTAGCCTCCTCCCCGCCTAGGCTTTTAACCACTCGGACATTTGTCGCACGGCTCGGGGCGTGTCTCATTTGCTGTCTTATTTTTCTATTTTTTCTATGTTTACGATTGAAAGTTAGTGGCACTGCTCGGCCGCTTACATTTTGCGCCACACTCGATAAAGTGCCGCTGGCAAATGTGGCGCAACGTCGCTGAGTGCTCCATTGAAGCGCCTAATTAAAAAAGAATCGTGCCAGAGCTGGGCCCTCAGCTCGTACACTAATGTGTTTCCGTCCAAGTTTCGCAATTGCATTAATTATTTGGAGAGTGCTTTCGAGCCTGTACGCTCCAGCATTATTGGCTTACCAAATCGATGAGCTGCGAGAGGCGTAGACCTAGCTTGACTAGCACCGTGTCCGTGTTGTTGCTGACGGGTCGTATGAGCCGATTGTAGTTGCTTAGCAGATCGTCGTAGAGTCGCTTGGCATCCGGATTGGCCTGCACCGTTTCGCAGAAGACCAGCAGGAAGGCCAACAGCAGGCAGAGCAGCTTGCAGTGCCGCCAAATGTCCAGGAGGACGGTCAGACGTGGCCGAACCCAGTGTCCCATGACGTCACAGCGACGGTTGCCTTGAAGGCGCTCGGCCGGTGTTTTATTGATACTAAAAACACGCGCACAGGTTTTTGTTTACCTTTCGGTCTTGCCTGGCGTGCGTGACGTAGTTCAGAGAGCAGCCTCCGTGTCGAGTTTTTCTCCTATTCGCCTCGGCTTTTAGTACCTGCGTTGAGCTAAAACTGCCAATGCAATAACTCTACACTCGACGCACAGCTGCGCAGCGCCAGCGCCGACGCAGATGAGGCGCACTCGCTCCGACTGCGACGCCAGCCTAGGCAGCGGCAGCGACAGCAGTTGCGCGGCAGAGCAGCTGAGCTGGAACAGAGCTCGTGTGCCTAGCTCTGAGCTGCACCCATGCAGCTGATGTTGTCCATGAGCCGACTATGTATGCAAATAAATTAATTTGGCCGTGGCACAGGGAAATTTGCAAAAATTATGATTAATTAAATAATAAATTATAAATCAATTTTATTTAAATATTTGTATGCACAGCCTGACAAATATTTTGCTATTCAACTGATTAAATTATTTGTATTTTCACTTGTGGCTCAGCTTTTGCACGCCGTTCGCTCCGTGCTGTCCTGCATAGATATTCACAGAATTCGTACTGACGTGCGTTTTGTTTTTGTAGCCTGCCTTGGCCCTCTCAGCCAAGCGGTCGCTGCGACTGCGGCGCCAGCATCCATTCTCGTGCTGCTTTGTCGCTTTGTCGCCAGCATCGCGCAGATGCTGCGCAGCGCCTGCGCACTGGGCTACACCCTGTTTTTTGAGTGCTGCCGTCGCGACGGAGGTCCCGGCTGCCAGAGTGTGTGCTGGCTGTGTTTTCATATAATCTTGCCCGTTTTGTAGTCTAAGCCAAGCCCTATGCTGTCAATCCCTCTCTCTTCCACGCTCTCGCTCTCGCTCTCTCACTCCCTCTCTCCCTGGCTGCTCTCTTTGGCTGTTAATCCAGCGACTCCATTACAACTTCAATCGCTCTGTTTGGATGCTCTCCTGCTTGGCAGCGAGCCACAGCCCAAAAAAAGGCTCATGCAAGTACTTCAAACAAAATTTGGCCCATATGAAAAAAGCTCTCACACACACACGCACGCTCACCCACACAGATTCGGCCGAGCACACATACACATACGCCCAGTTGTAGCGCATATTCCACATTCGTTTAACCAAAAACCAAATTTTTCGTAATTGTCAACATTCGTTAAAATGCACGTTAACAAGCAGCTAGGACATATCTACAAAGTACACACCCGCATAGCCACCCCCAAACCCACACCCACACTCAACAGCAGCCACACACACACCTTTTAACAGCATTTTGCATGTTTACCGTTGCAATGTTGGCAATGCTCAGTTTTTGAGTTTTGGTTTTGGTTTTGGTTTGCCGTTTGGTTGAGCCCCGTTCGCATATGTGTCATATTGCTATGTTGAGTTGTGTTTGCGGCTTTACTGTGCCACAGCAATAGCAACTTGCACACACTCCAAACTGTTCGCTTTTCAGTAATGTGTTCGGACTGATGACAGCAACAGCAGCAGCAGCAGCAGCAACATCAACTTCAACAACACCGATGAGAGCTACAACCGCAGGACACTCCGTTTTGACGCCTCTGCTTTGACAATTGCACGCAGCAGCTTCTGCTCATGCCACAAATAGAAATTGTGGAGCCTACGTCATTTTTTTTGTATTATTATTATAAATGAGATTTCAACTTATTTATGACTTATTTTTAATTTATCGAATTTAGGCAAGATATGAAAATAGTATGGAAATATTTGCAGAAAAATTAAATGATTAGTTGAAACTAAAAATTTAACAACGTTTTTAATAAAAGTAATATAAAATTAATAAAGAAATAACAGTGGAAAAATATTTTAGTTTTTTGTTATAATTTTATTTATCTAGATGCAGATTTATACAATAATAATACAATTTCATTAATATTTATAGAGTTTCATAAAAATAGCTTTGTAGTAAAAAAAATTTGTTTTCTACTTAATCCATTTGGTAATCTAAATAAATTTCATATCGTGATGCATATTGAAAAATATGGAACATAAATAATTCTACTTAATGCATGAAATGAATTAATAAATTGATATTTTGATTTTTGCCATATTTCTCAAATAAATATATGATTTATAAACTTTAGAAAAATGAGTATATAAATTGTTATTAATTAATGTTAATGACATTATTTAGCATATTTTAATATTGTATTTAAATACATGAAATCCATAATATTCTTGTTTGTGCTTGCAAAACTAATCGATATTTGAACACTTTTAAGCTAGTTAAACACAGTGCAAATAAATGAACAAATAATGGTCCAATTTTTTTCATATTCACTTTTTGTATATTATTTACTTAAAAATAAAAAAATAGAAAATGTTGTTTACCAGCACTGCGATTTTCATTAAAATATGGTCACTCTGACCCCTTGCTTGCTGCTGTCGCTGCGGATGCTGTTGATGCTGTTTTTGTTGTTGTTGTTATTGTTATTGTTAGTGTCCAGTGCGTACCGAAAATGCCTTAATGATACATGAACTTTGTCATTGGGGCTGGCATTGAGCCGCGTGTGTTTTATGGCTTACGGTCAATGGCCGTCGTTTGCTTTTTAGCTGCTTTCGGGGCCTACATCGAAATATTTGGTCACATCAGCAATTTTCTTTAGCTTACCATTAACTGAGAGCAGCAGCAGCAGCAGCAACAGCAACAACAGCAATAAGATTAGAGGACTACGAATCAATTTAATGAGCCAAGCTTGCGCCTGCTGCTGTTTTTGTCACAGCCAGATTAAATCTATGTGGAGTCTATTAGCTGTTTTTATACTTTTAACATTTTGTTTGGCTCTTACCCTTTTAAGCTGATGTTGCCCAGTTTTATAGTAGTTTATTTTTTTTCTTCCACTTTTTCATTAGTCATCTAGTGTGTGTGTGTGTGTGTGTGGTTATGCTGTTCTATATGATCCATCGCCGCGCATGTTTTATTGCTGGCAATATAACAAAGCAATCAATAGTACAACAACACTGTGAGCACTGCGGCACAATAACAAACAACAAATTTGCTTGTTTGCAACTCGAACTTTGATTCTGCGTTTTTTCTATTATTTGTTTTGCTTTTATTTTTCGTTGTGGCTTTGCCCAACAACAAGAACAACAAAAAGGAGCAAAAAGAATAAAAAAAACCTGAAACATTTGTTATATGCAGTCGCCACCAATAGGTCAACAAAAACAAAATGGAACTTGGGAAGCGAACCGTAGCTCGACTATAAAATACCACAGAAAAGTTGAATATTTGTTTTGAAATACTGTTGTTTATTTAATATATCCTTGATAGTTTATATATAATTATTACATGAGAGCAGAACGGATTACGCGAACTCAAAGAATTTGGCTCGAAACATTAATATCTTTATGGTTATACAGTTCTTCAAATAATGTAAGATCAAGTTCACTGCATTTCGCTTCTAAGTTTCCCGTTAAAGTTGCGCCAAGTTGGGAGCTAAAGGGTATTAGCAAAGTTTACAAAACAATTTCGAGAACTCTGCTTTTATCATGCTCAGATGAAGTGAAGTTGAAGCAAACACCTGGGATAACGCGACTGTGTGGCTCAGTGGGCAGCATGTACGGAGAGCTGTGAGGGTCCGATGGCCACCCATTCATAGTTCTCTGACTTTTTGATTTTAACCCGAAAGCCCGGTCACCTCTAGCACCGGGTCACATAGAGCAGCCGACGCTTTCGCAGAAGCCTGCACAGTGGGTGTTGTGGGAGCAACGACAACAGCAACAGCAACAGCAACGACAACGGTAACGGCAACAGCAAGAAAACTCAATTAAAATTTAAATTTTCAAACGTAAATGACAAAACTTTCTCAACTATAAATAATCGGCAGTCGCTCCACTTGGTTCGGTTCGGTTGCCTGCCCTTGCAGCCACTTCAAAATCTGACAAGAGCCGCGATGCTGGCTCTCTCACCTCTCACCTCTCCCGCCAGTGTCCCACATCATGCTCCGCCCTCTCTGAAGACCGTGCGTAGCTGCGTGATCGAAAGTTTTGTCTATGCTCGTACAATTTATCTAACTTTTATAGCAACCACAGCAACGGCAGTGGCAACCAACAGAAAAAAAAAGAAACCAACCATTCGCTGGTTTGGCCAGAAATTAATTGCAAAACTGTATGGCATGTGGGGAAGGCGGGTAGGGGGCGTGTCAGAGGGCGGTCGAGTGTAGCGGGAGGCCAATCACAATGAGCGTTTGCCACTTGAACAACATAAAACTGATTGCTGTAAATCTGGCCCATTGGGTCCGGCCAACCCGCTCCCCTGCAGGCCCCAATCGTGCATTGTTTGGTTCGTCAATTCATGGGCTGTGCTTGTCGTGGCCATTGTTGACACGTTTAAGTGCCGTTTGCTTTTATCAACAGCGTCCACAACAACCACAACAGCAAAGCGAAGCCCAAATTGAGGCCTCAATAGCCTCAGAGCCACTGCCACTGCCAAAGCCAGAGCTGCAGCAGTTCGAGCGCAGAGCCAGAGCCAGAGAAAGACCCAAAAGCGACGTGCACATAACATTTTTACAACGTTTTTAATTGTTTTTGCCAACTGTGAATTTCGTGGCGCTCTTGAATGTGGGACGACCCATCAATTTAATGGCATTTTCGCGTGAGGCACAAAATCAAAGCCGCGCGGCAACGGCAACGGCAACGGCAACGGCAACGGCAATGCCAGCTGCCAGTCTGTCAATTAATGTAGATAGCATTTTATGATGAGCAGTGACAAGTCGTCTCGAAAATGACAGCGCATTACTCGCCCATTGGCGGCTTGTTTATTGCGTCTTTAAGCCCGATGCGCTGCCACCATAAAAACATAAAACTGATGCATAGTTTTTGGCAGCTCTAAGCGATATCATTAATTGCACGCACACACTTCACATGTAGCTGGCCAATAGACGCGCGATACAATCACAGACAATTTGCCCGGCGCACGACGCGTATGCGTAATTACATGTAGATAAATAAATAATATGTCATTTCGTTGCTGGGTGTCATATAGCTCATTATAGCTCTAAGATATTTATCGAAATGATTTCTAATTCAAGCAGCAGCTCTTCTAAAGAGCACTAAAGTTGACTTTAACTGTGGCATTTTAAGGTTTGTAGATGCAGAAATTTGGCTAGAAATATTTATTCACATTCCAGAACAGCCATGATATGTGCTTTAATTGCTTTTGAAATATTATGTATCAATATATATGAAAAACTATCTATTGTATTTAGTCACACGGTTTGTATAATTAATCTAATTTTGTCATTTTCAGCAGCTCCATTTGTAGACGTATTTCGAGCACATTACAAATTTATTTATCCCAAGCTGTACTCTCATTCAATTCAGTTTTACGCGATTACTATTACCTTAATTCGATTCGAAAGCGGTTTTCATCCCTGGCGCTTTGGCATAAACTAATCTGATACTAATTTGCTTGCCACGTTATGGCCAGGGCATAATAATATAATATTATTTATATTTCGTTTCGTAGCTGCCACGCCCCATCGCTTACGCACGGCCACGCCCACACAGTTGCGAGCTGCGAGTGGAGGCCGCCGTAAAGTCATCAGGCGTCTGACTTAACAACTTTGCAGTGACAAGTTTCAATGTCTTTTCTCTTTTTTTTTTTTTTTTTTTTTTTTTTAGCGTGCGCGCGTGGAACTATGAATACTTTGTCAAGTTTTTGCTTTTAGACAAGCTCGTCATCTAGGCAGCATCTCCTGCTCGCGTCTGTGCCACTGACAGTGGCTTTGGCTTTGCCAGTGCTTGTGCCCGTCTGTAATCCCATTTCTATTCGCAAAAGTCTCCCCAAACGTTTATGGGGCGCCCTGCCCAGACATCGCATTCGCCGTTGTCGTTGTTGTCGTTGTCGTTGTCGTTGTCCTCGTCATCACCATCCTTGTCGTCATTTCGTTTGTGCCTTGGCTGCGTCTTTGTGTTGCTTGGTTGCATT